TTTAATTGAAAACAGGTTTCTGGCAGCAGCTCCAAGCGATTTGGCGGAAGATGGGTGAAGGGGCCAGGGAGGATCATGGGAGTTGTTTGTGTAACCCTGAAACTGCTGGTAGGTGACCATAAGAATGACTGACTGCAGTTCGGAGGCATAGAGAAAAGCTGCCCGGAGAGCCAGACTTGTTCCTCCATCTGCTCTTGAAACAGTGTTCTTGGCAACTGCTTGGAGTGAGTTTAAAGGTGTTAGTCCCCTACTAACTAGAATTCATTCACTTAGCAAGTGTCTATTAGATGCCTTTGGGGTTCCAGGTACTGCCCTAGATGTGAGAGATATAAAAAGAAAGACAAGGTAACTCTTTGGAAGTAAACATTTTTATTGTCTCCATTATACAGATGAAGAAACTGAGGCCCAGAGACTTGAAGTGACTTGTCTAGAGGCACGTAGGCTAGTTACTGTCTGAGGAAGGATTAAACTAGCTGTGTGACATTGGACAAGTTATTTGTTGGGCATCAGTTTCCTCATCTGTAAAGTGGGAGGAGGGAGATTGGATTTCTAGGGTGGCTTCTGGTCAGTTCTTGATGACCCGTCCTGGTTTCTCCTCACTCTACAGGTCAGCATAGACAAACTGTTGAGTGCTTGTGCTGACTTGTGAATTACGTTGTCATCACAGAAAAACTGTCAAGTCCATTCAGCATCCGTGTGAATTACCATATAACTTTTTAGCTTTAACAAACATGCATGTAAGAGACACTGTGCTGGGTGCTAGGGATAAAAAGATATACATCCACCACACTGACATTGCTCTCAGTGAGCTTACAGTCAAATAAGGGAAAACTTGTACAAAAGCAACTGTACATGATACAAGGGACAGCAAGGGCAAGAAGTTGTCTAGGCAAAATAGTGTGAGAAACAGTGGGAAGAAGGGAATCCCTTTCATTTAGGCTGAAAGCAGGGAAGCCATCATGGAGGAGGTGTCATCTGAGTTGTGACTTGACCCAGGATCTGGGCAGGTTCCAAGGATGGAGGGGAGGACCATTTGAGCAAAGGTCTGGAGATGGGAAAAGACAAGGTAAGAACAGGAGATACAGAGGCTAGCTTAGTTTGCCTTTGTAATGTGAGAAGACCAGAATGATTGTTGAGAGCCTTGAATGCCAGAATCAGAACATTTGCATATTCAGTAGTTAGTGGGAAGCCCCTAAAGTCTTCTGAGTAGAGAATAGCATGATCAGAGCAGGGGCTTAGGGAGATCTTGGCCTCGTGGACTAGAGAGGGAAGAGCCTCAGGATAGCTTGAGATTGCTAGCTAATTCACAAAGTACTTGGGAGCCCTCCTCCCCACCCCAAATACCTCCCATCCATCCATCTGTCTGTCCATCCATCCCTCCATCCATCCATCCCTCCCTCCCTCCGTCTGTCTATCCTTCCATCTCATCCATCCATCCATCCCTCCATCCATCCGTCCATCCATCCATCCGTCCGTCCCTCCCTCCATCCATCCCTCCATCCATCCCTCCCTCCTGCCATCCCTCCATCCATCTGTCCGTCTGTCTGTCCCTCCATTCATTCATCCATCCATCTGTCTGTCCATCCATCTCTCCATCCATCCATCCATCCATCCATCAGTCTGTCCATCTGTCTGTCCATCCATCCATCCATCCATCCATCCATCCATCCATCCATCCATCTATCCATCTATCTATCCATCCATCCATCCATCCCCTTCTCCCCACTCATGGCCTCCACCCTAGTTTGGGATCTCATCACCTATTTCTGGGAGCATTGCAATTATCCCAGCTGTTCCCACCCTTCATACAGCTGCCAGGTTGGTATTTCTAGAGAACAAAACTGTGACCACATCAGTATTCAGGAACCTCTCATGGCTCCCAGTTGCCTCTAGATGGAAATATAGCTCCCCTCTTTGGCATTTAAAGCCCTTCCTGATCCTTCTTGGGTTGACCTTTCCAGTGCACTTTACTTGACTAATCAGGGGCGACATCTTGCCTCTGTCACCATGGGAGCTTGGAGGGAGGTCCCATCTTGATGCTGTCTGACCAGCTTCTTGTTCCTCACAGGCTCACTGCCCCATCTCCTACCTCCAGGCCTTTGCACTCCATTGCTGTCCCTCCTCACCTTGCTTACCGGACACCCCAGCTCTCCTGCTACCTACCTGTGAGCTCTTTCTTCCTCTGGATGGCATTATGTTCTCTCCCTTGCCACCCTTTGGAGGTAGCTTCTGTACGGAGCTCACCTTGCCCTGGGATCTGTGGAAACAGAGTTGCCTCCTGGCCAGAAGCCAGATAGTAGGAATCAGCCCTTCCAAATGGCTGTCCTTAGAGACATTTTCTCGCCAAATCTGTGCCACAGGTGCTGTTAATTAGCCTCTTTTGGCCGAGGAGGAAACTGAGACTCAGAGAAACTTTGGTGAGTTGCCCAGGGTCACACCCCTAGTAATCCTCTACTGCTGAGATCTCCTGGAATCCATTCATTCAATAAACATTTATTAAGCCACTGTTGTATGCCAGGCTTGTCATTATTCCTCACTCTTTGTGGAAACTCCCTGAGAGCTTCCTCAGTCCTGCCAGCAAACATTTAGGGCTTATTGTATGCTAGGCTCTATGCTAAGCATTAGGAATTCAAAGGCAAAAGTGAATCCTTCCCTGCCCTCAGGGAGCTTCCATTCTGGTGGGTGAGCTACCCTATACATTTGTAAGCCTGTGCAGTCTCCCTCAGACTGCTTTTTTTTCCCTTCTCTTTGGACTCCCTGTCCTTTGCTTGGAGCTTGGGACGTAAAAGCTGCCTCTGGATAAAATATTTACTCTGATGGGGTCAGCTGAGACCTTGGAGTCTTGTTCTCTTGAGTTCCTGACTTGGAGGAAAGGTTTCCTTCAAACTCTGGGAGCTTCAGACCCAAGAGAGAAGAGCCCAAGGAGATTACTGCTGCAGTGGGGCTGGAAAGTCAGTCAACGAGCATTTATTAAGTGCCCACTGTATGCCAGGCAGTGGGCCAGTTCCATTCCTCAAAGGGCTCACAGTTTAGCAGGAGGAAACTACACATCTATAGGTATATTAAAAACAGACACCAGATATATTGCAGGATGGGAGTTGGGGAATTAGGGAATAGCCATGGGGGGATGAGGGGTAGGGAAGTCACTTAGCTAGCATTGAAATGGTATTTTAAGGTTTGCAAAGTGCTTCATAAATAGTATTTCATATGATCTGCCATTTCTTTCTCTGGCTCATTTTACAGATGAGGAAACTGAGACCAAAAGTGTTTAAGTGACTTGTCCAGGGTCACACAGCTAGTGAGTTTCAGAAGCTGGATTTGAACTCAGGCCTTCCTGACTTCCAAGTCTAGTTAGTTGTCTGTTCCTTGTACTATCTTGCTGCTTCATGTAAAAGATGGCATTTGAGCTAAGTTTGAAGGAGATGTGGAATTCTAAGGCCTGGAGATGGGAAATGGAGCATTGTGTGAGAGAAAGGAGACAAAGGCTAGTTTGCCCGGACCATAATGGGCTTTGAGGGAGAGGGGGTTAAAATGTATAAGGCTGGAAAGGTAGTTTGGGCTGGGCCATGGCCAAGGTCCCTGAGAGCTGGCCTCTGTCTCCCTTTTGTTTGTCTCTCACCCCAGATTGGCTGGTTGGGAACAGTCTACACCTGTTGTCTCTCTAAACCTATCCGTGAGTGCCAGGGGTATTCCAGGAATCCCAGCAGGGACCCACCCTGAAGTGGTGGAGGGTAGCCTGCGGGTAAGGCGGGGCAGTGTTTCTAGGGGCCCCTCCCTGAGCCTTCATTCCTGCTGAAGACCTCTGGCCAGTTCAGCATTGGGGAAGCTGAGTCACTGGAAGTCCAGCTGGCCGGGCTAAGGTTGAGAAGATTGGGTTAGAGAGGCCCCAGGCAGCCCTGCCCATCACCCTGGATTTGGCCTTGGAGGGCTGGGCTGGGGAGGCAGGATGAGACCCACTGAGAGGAGAGAGAGAGAAGGCTGCCCATGCTGCTGATGGCCTCCTAGTTTTATGAATTTCATTCATTCACTCAACAGACATCTACTTTCTATCCTTTCATATGTCTGTGTTGTCTTCCTTGTTAGAGCACTTGGGGAGGCAGTGTGGAATGATGGAAAGAACATTTCCTCTTAAGTTAGGGGATCTGGATTCAAGTCCTGCTTTGGCATGAACTGTGTAACCTTGGCTGGCTGGCAGGCAGGCCAGTTCAGCTCCCTGGGCCTCAGTTTTCCTAATCTGTAAAAGAGGGGATTAGACTAGGCCTTCCCCCTCTAACTCCCTCTGTGACAGTGGGGGGAGGGGTCACTCCCAGGACCTCAGTCTCTTTGTCTTTATAAGGGGGAGAGGGAAGTGGAGGTTCTTTCCAGCCCCAACACTTATGGGTGTTTGAGCGAGAATGCTCAGAATCAATCAGTGAACGAGCTTTTCTGTTCTGGGCACTGTGATTGTAGATCCCCTCCCCCCCACCCCCTCACCCCAGCCCTGTAGCAGCTTCCATCCTCCTTGGGGGTGGGGGGGCACGAGGTAGTCACATGATAATATGCAAATAGAGGCACACTGATGGAGGGAGGGTTGCTAGCAAAGATAATGTATGGAGATTTAATTCATACTTTTTAAGCTCCTACTATATGCCAGGTCTCTATGGATACAGATACAGAGGAGATAGAAGGAATTTACATTCTCCTGGGGTCCTGCAAAGACAGAAGTGGGACCTTCCCTTCCCTCTGAGAACTCTTATTCCTTATTCTACTGGTGACTGGACTTTGTAAGCTGTAGAACACTCTAGGAATGTGAGTAGAAAAGAATCGTAATGGTCTGTGAGCTCCTGGAGAACAGGGACTCTTTTGCATTTCTTGTTAGGACATGAGTAGGTCCTTAATAAATAAATACCAGTTGACTGACTGACTGATTGATTCCTTCCTTGAAGGTGGATCAGGCCCTTTTCCTTTGGACCCTTCTCCTGGTTTGGCTCTTGGATCAGAGGCTCTGGCTGGCATGGCCTGTGAAATGATGATGACGTTCATCCATTCTCCAAACATGCTGCCTGTCTGCCTGGCGCTTTGGGACTCTCGTTCTGGGGGCTCTGAGCTATGCAGCCACCACACACCCTGAAGTCTTCCAGCATTCTGTTGGGGACAGTGGGTGGGTGTGGGCCTGCGGTCAGGAATGAGACAGGGGCAGCCAAGATGGTGCCCTTTTGTTTGGGGTCCCATCGGGCTGAGATGAAGGCTGATAGTCTGATCGCACGCCATGTGGTTTCTAAACTTCAGAGAGTCCAGCCAGGAGTAATCTGGGGTGGCTACAGGGTTGGTCCAAATGGAGGAGCTCCAAGGGCTCTTCAGGAAGGACCAGCTGCCAGTGGGGTTCAGGTTCAGATAGTCTTTGACTTCTGGCCAGAGGACTCATCGGGAGGGAGGCAAAGTCTGTTGAACCTCTGAGGCTGTGGTGCCTTGTAATGATTAACTTGTCCCTTCCTTTACCCGTCCTGAAGGGCTGTTGGGTCATGGCCAAGAAGGATGATTTTGGGGCACTCTCTTTGCCAGATGCCAAGTGTGGGGCTGCAGTTTTCCCAGATAAATCTCCCTCTTCTGCAGACCCTTTCTCTCTGACTTAGAACCTTGTAGGAGAAGTGACCATGCCTCGTCTTCGTATCAAGAGCAGAGAAGTCAAAGAGGGGATAGGGCGGGAAATTGAGGCACAAGGAAGGAAGATTTGCTCAGGGCACCACAGAATCAAATTATCATGGACAAGACCCTTGATGAACAAAGAAGTGTTAATGTGCTTCCTCCCTGAGATTCTCCCCGGTTTATCCTTCAGACACTCGTTTGTTCATGGTTGGTTGTCTGCGGGGAGCACTGTTGTTGTTGCCTTTCTTTGTTTCCTTCGATGCCTGGCACATAGTAGGGGCTTTATCGGTGCTTATTCCCTAACCTTTCCTCTTCTGAACTGCCTCTGTGGGATAGAATGGGGAAATGCTCTGATCCTGTGATTTCCTTGCCTTCCCAGTGTGCAAATCATTTAACATTATATAAACCTTTTAATATTATGCAAACTTTGGAACTCGTCCTTAAAACCAAGTGCCTGATTTGTTCTGATCGGGGAACTTCCTTTTCCTTGGGCTCCAGCTGGCCTGCATCCAGCTACCCTGCCAATGGGGCTGGTGCTGGCTCTCAGGTGATAATGGGCAGGGCCTCCTGGACCATTGTGGGGTGGGGAGAACATTCCACCCTGGGATGCTGGGCTCCCTCCAACGCCTTTGCTGTAAAACACTGGTTTTCCCAGTCAGCTTTCAGGACAGCCTCTAATCCCTGCCCTTTCCTCCATATCCCAGAATCAAACCAAACAGCAGATATAAAAAACTAACCAAAACCCCCCCAAACCCAGGATGAATGGGGAGTGATTATTTACCTTCCTGAAGAGTTAGCTTTCTAAGGTTGCCATGACTTTTGGTGTGGGGTCCATACCTGAGATGTCATTGGACCATAAGTTTAGAGCAGAAAGATGCCATGGGGTCATTTTGTAGGGGGGAATTCCAGGGAGGGGAAGGGATTTATCAGCCCAGGGTCACAGAGATCAGTCGTGTGTGAGGGAAGATTTGAGCTCAAGGTTTTCCTGACTCCAGACCCTAATCCCTTCCCTTTATAAAGGAGGAAATGGAGGCCCAAGAGGTTGAAAGACATCATCTTC